GTCAGCACCAGAAAGAGGACGGAGGAGGGGGAGGGGGTGTCGCAGTTGAAGGGCTTCCATGCTCAATACCCGGCGGTAGGCTCGAGCGAGGCGTGGCGGGGCGCGGCGGGGCTCTGCGGGACGGGGGGTGTGGGAGCGCCGCCGTTCTTTCGTGACCTGCTGAACTAGGGGAGGGGAGGTTGGTTATTTGAAAAAGCTCGGGGGGACCCCGGACCTCTACGACAGCCCGGCCTAAATAACAAATTTGTGTTTTACTTGTTGTTGTCGGCAAAGACAATGCGCCTTCCTCTGCCTACGCCGCGCCTTCCTCTGCCTACGCCGCGCCCCCCGGCGCAGGCTCGGCGCAGGCACTAAAAGGGAAGTCAGTGACGGCGCCATGCAAATGGAATTGGCCGCCCTGCCCCGGAGGTCCGGGGTGCGTAACGCCCCGCGCGCCAATTGGAGTTTACTGCCGAACGGCCCCATCGCCGGCCCGGCTTACCGTACGGCGGCAGTAAAGTCCCGAAGGGTTATTTACAACTGTTTCCCCCAACACCTTCGCAAAAAAAGAGACAACAACAGGCAAGGAAACTATATTAGTGCTGTTTTTTTAAGAGCATTTACGTAGTACGGAGCCCGCTCGGCGGAATGGGGTACAAATATTATGGGCCCGGGTCCCAAAAGGATCAGGACAGTCATGAGAGTCGAGAGGGAGGCCCGTGATATTTGTACCCCGGGGTGCAAATATCATGCGACGCCATGCGCGTTCTCCGATGGTACGGTTCTGATCCTTTCGGAACCCCTCATGAAATTTGTACCCCCCAATGCGTCGGGGTGGCGGCGTCTCGCCGGCCGGGCAGAGCAGGCGATACTCCCCGCGGAGAGGGACGCTACCGGCGGACGGGCACGCGGGCCGCGACTGACTGCTCGCGGCCGCGCAACCGTCTGGCCAGCTCACCTACAGGGGCCATTATCATCATGTCGACACAATTAATCTGGCCTCTTCTGCTTCGAGGGCCCCGCCGCCTTTGGGCCCCCGCCTCACTCCAAGTCTCAGTAAACCGCGCCGCGCCCTGAGGCAATGACACACGAGTGAGGCGGACAGTTAGTTTACTTGCCCGGCAGCCAAAATGGGTGAGGCAGTCAACTCTTCCCCCTCTTCCCGCTGTTACCAACGATTTTCGGAAACGAGTCAGTAGGACTTAGGTTGTCGATGTTGTTTTTGTTGTGTTCTTTATTTCGTTGTTTTTCTTTACTCGGTTGTCTTTTCGTTTTGTTGCTGTGCGGTTTTTCGAGCTCGTTTTTCAAGGAAAATTTCAATTTGGGTCGTATTTTGTATTTTCATTTGCGCAGGACGAGATAGGTTCAAAGTGGCAGGGAGCTGGGACGTTGGAGGAGGGTGGGGTGGTTGGGGACAGGGGAAAATGAGAAAAGATGTATGTTAATCTGACTCGGGTTTGCGTCTGTACTGAGGGCCTCCCCATCCCAGCGCGGCGCGACCGGCTGTGCGGAGTGGGGTAGTGGGGTAGTCGGGTCAGGTGGGGAGCGGGGTACTGGGGCCCACGGATCAAGAACTCACCTTTAAGCTCGCTCCCGCCGAGCTCGCGAACGCGAGCGGAAACTGTGTCAAAACCAGACCCGTCCGCTAATTTATGCAATTTATACATTTGAGTCCTTTTTGCTTCTACCGCAGGCTTGGACTTCGTCGAAGGAGGAGCCACGTTCGAGCATGCCGTCACAGAGACCGGTGAGTGCCTGGAGAGAGCCGTATTCACCACACGGGAAAACATATGATTAACCGTACAGCTAAACCAATAGCTAAATACAAGAACAATACTTTGCTATGTAGCTGAAAATCCAGCTATGTTTGGCTACATAGCTAAATTCGGCTAAATTTTTAGCTACATAGCTAAACACCTAAATTTTAAGGTAGATAGCTAAATTTGTTTTGCTGCTCTTTTTTCCGTACAGGTTGCTTGTTAACCCCGCGTTTGTTTGTAGTGATACTGTGCCTGTGCCTATACGGTCGGGCGCCGGGCGCGTGACGCGCCGTGGCCAGCGGCGATAGGCAAACCCGTGACGCGCCGTGGCCAGCGGCGATAGGCAAACCCGCGCGGTACAGACCATTGAATAGCCACCTGGTATAGACTTATTCCTAAACACATGGTGTCATCGACGACCAGATAGCTATTGGAACACGATAAAAATATCTGAATGCAATCTGTTACCGATAATGGCGATAAAAAAATGGCGCGACGTTCAAGTACTTGCAAAAAAAAAAAAAAAAAAAACAGTTGCGGACATTGCCCCGTTTTTTCAAGAAAACTGTACTTTGGCAGGCTTTGGCCGGTTCCACTATGGACTCATGGCGCTGTGCGGGCTCGTCTACCTGGACACGGCCATGGGCATCACCATCCTGTCCTTCGTGCTGCCCGCCGCCCAGTGCGACTTCGACATGGACAGCCCCAAGAAGGGGTGGCTCAACGCCGCACCCATGCTCGGCATGGTGCTCGGCTCGTACTTCTGGGGCTGCCTGGCGGACACGCGCGGCCGGCGCGTCGTCCTCATCGCCACCCTGGTCATGGACGGCGTCTGCGGCCTCGCCAGCTCCATCTCGCAGTACTACGGCGTCTTCATGTTCCTCCGCTTCCTCAACGGCTTCGCGTAAGTCCCTTGTTTTCTGAGTCACAAGATGGGGATTGATTTCCAAAAAGTCGTTCTCGAAGGAATTTTCAAGATATTTTTTGAAAATCTCTCAATTTTCCCCCAATTTTCTAGAAATATTTTTGCGATTCAGAATCCCTTTGTTACGGAAGATACGACGGTTTTAACACACTGTTTTCACCTTCCTGTAGGATCACCGGTGCCATGGGGATCGTGTTCCCGTACCTCGGCGAGTTCCAGCCCACCAAGTACAGAGAGAAGATCCTGTGCTGGATGGAGGTCTTCTGGACGTGCGGGATCATCCTGCTGCCAGGTACGCTGAGCGTTTTTGGCAACATTGGAGGTCAGAGGGGTCAATTTGTACCCCAAAACTTATAGGGCCATATGAACTCTAATGGCCGAGGAGGGGGTACAAATATTCCGGGGCCCCAAAAGGATCAGGACAGTCAGTAGAGTCGAGAGGGAGTCTCATGAAATTTGTACCCCGGATTACAAATATCATGCGATCATACGTGCTCCGATAGAATTGTTCTGATCCTTTCGGAACCCCAAAATATTTGTACCCCCTCCCGAGCACTTCCCCTTCTTAATATCGAGTTTCTCGCCCCCTAGGCATCGCGTGGCTGACCATCTCGCTCCCGTTCCGCTACGAGACCGAGGGCTTCATCTTCGGCTCGTGGCAGCTGTTCGTGGCCGTGTGCGCGCTGCCCTCGCTCGTCGTGGCCGCCTGGCTCTCCGTCTACCCCGAGAGCCCCAAGTTCCTGCTCGAGTGCGGCGAGTACGAGGAGGCGCTCGAGATCCTGCAGGAGATGTTCCACCGCAACACGGGGCGACCCAAGAGCGAATACTCGGTAAGGGGGTTAGCTTTATCGCGGCCGTCTGCTTGTCAGGTTTTATAAAATACGCTTTTCAGACCGTAAAACTATACAATATTTATTTAACGATGTATATTGGCGTGAGAGGACGCACGACTTGGGATTTTAAGTCAAAAATTTCACTGGAAAAATTGGGAACTTAAAATCCAAAAAGTCAAAAATTTCACTGGAAAAATTGGGAGCTTTTCCAGAAAAAAATTGAAAAAGTTTAAAATATTTCCAGGAAAAAATGAAATATTCCTCAGGAAAACTAAGTGAATTTTTTTTAATCGCACGAATACTTTTTTGGAAAGTTAAAACTCTTACGCCCTTCTACGGTTTGCTACGCTTGCCAGGTCAAGAGCCTCCGCGAGCCCCGGTCGCGCGCCATGTCCGTGGTGAGCACCACCTCCAGGGCGAGCGTCAAGAGCCTCCGCTCCATCCGGACGCCCAAGGACATCAAGCTGCTCGTGGAGGAGGTGTGGGACCAGACGAAGCAGCTGTGCCGACCGCCGCACCGCTACTACACCGTGCTCACCTGCCTCATCCAGTTCGGGCTCACCACCAGGTCTGACTCTTTTCGCATGGCGAATTATCTTTTCGAAGAACTTTATTTTGGAGGCCGTGATAACTGTAATCACATGGGTATATATTTTTCACTAGCAGAGTTACTTTATCATAGAATTTAAAAACACATGACGGCCCATGAACTCAAGTAGAGAGTGTTGCAAAAACAATAACAATCAACTAAACGACGTAATTAATGTACGAACCCAAAACGTGTCCCGTTCAGCTACTACACGCTCATGATGTGGTTCCCGGAGCTCTTCGACCGCTTCGAGTACTTCTCCCAGGAGCACCCCGGCGAGACGGCGTCGGTGTGCGACGTGTCCGGGGCGGCCCTGGGCGAGCCCTCCACCGACTGCCCCAACCACATCGACGACCAGGTGTTCCTGCACACGCTCATCGTGGGGCTGGCCTGCATCCCCACCAGCTTCTGGCTGCCCCTCTGCGTGCACCGCCTCGGCGCCAAGTTCTTCCTCGGTACGACGGCGAAACTGCGTCGAAAAGAAAAATGCAGGGCATAATTTCGCACTACTACTGCATAATTTTGTCTTCCGGTCGCTAAAATTCTCCGTTCCTCTTACCAGTGTTCAGCCTCGTGGTCTCCGGGATGGTGGCGGTCGGGCTGTACTTCGTCACCAACTCGACGCAGAACCTCGTGCTGTCGTGCATCTTCGAGGCCCTGACCAGCCTCGGCATCAGCACCGTCTACTGCGTCATGGTGGACCTCTTCCCCACCAACCTGCGCGTCATGGCGGCCGCGCTGTCGCTCACCTTCGGCCGCGGCGGCGCGCTCTTCGGCAACCTGGTCTTCAGCTACCTCATCGACATCAACTGCGTCCTGCCCATCGCCCTGTTCGCCGCCCTGCTGTTCGGTAAGTGCGCGGCCACTCTCACCCTCCTTCCCTTGTTTTAATTTAACCCGTCCTCACTCTGCTGCTTTTCTTTCTCTCTCTACAGTGTCCGGGGGACTTTGCTTGCTACTACCGAACACTGGGAAAGGAGAGATCGACTGATCTCTTGCCAAAAGTGTGAAGTTCATTCCTATTCGTCAAAAGGGCGAATAGTCTATTATGTTTCCTTAGAATTAATATTTTGCCGTCCACTCGCGGTCCTATTAGGGCTTTAACCAAGAGGACCGAAGGGGATCCAGTCTGAGGGGCCCAAGTGAAACTATTGAGAGACTTACACGTGATTAGAGACGTTTGAGTGAGAATCTGACACCCAGTCAGAAAGTGATATCCGAACAATACTGTAGTGATGTCGGTTCGGTAGTTTGCACGATCACGCACCTAGGTTAATACTTTTTGCTACGCATGTTGTTATACTTTTGTTCTAGTCACTAGCTGTGCCTCTTTCGCGACTACGACAGTGTATTATTTTGAGAAGAAGGCACAGTATTGTTCGATTTTCTTTATTGATAAGTTGTGCAGTAGGTGGGTAAATCATTGACAGTCTTAAGAAAAATTGAGTTGTGTTGCCATCAGAACTGAATTTCAGACTGTGAGGGCAACCAACAGTTCCATATGAAAAATAAAAGACTGCACTATTCCTTTTTACATTGAAAGTATTTTTGATAAGTAAATGTATGATGTATGTATGTAAATAGTACAATAAATGCTGTAAACCGTAGCTGTCCTTAGCCAATGTTGTTGTTATGTGAGCATGATCTCACAGTGCCAGTTGTTTTTAAATAAATGTTTCACAAGGAGACTGAAAATTTGCCTCACTTTCCACTATTTACAAACATTAATTATCAGTCACACTATAAATTACATTCACTCGGATACATTCATTCCGTCAACAAAATAATGAGGGCAATATACGAATATTAAAATACCTAGTCATATCAACCAGATGGCTCACCCTACAATTTAGTAAGAACCTCACTGTGTACGAATTACACATTTTAGGATCGACGTAACAACTTTTTCTGATAAAGGTAGAGTCAGGTAAACTTTTAGTGTGGTTTATACATTTAAAAATGAGCCATCTGGTTAATTTTTCAATTCATCGCGCAAACCCTAACTTAACACTAATGACGCTTAGTTACGTAGCGGTGGCAAAAAGTTTTAACTAAAAAATCTATTTCTTTGGGTCCGGGTAGGTCAGACTTTGCGTGGGCGTGAAGGCGCGGACCATAGGGATTTTATTTTCCCGGAAACATACGTTGAGGAAATTTTTCAAGAATTTTTCGATATATCTCAACTTCTGAAAAAAAATTCCAATTGTCCTGGAAAATTTCAAGTATTTCCAATTTTTTTTTTCTGGGAAATATTTCAATTTTTCCTAAAAAGTTTCGGACTTTAAAATCCCTAGACGTCCGCCACCTCACCGTGCTCCCGCCGAGGGTTTCCCCTGTTGTTTTTTCACTGGGTTCTGGCCTGCGGGCCGTGCGGGCTTGGGCTTGCCCTGGTTGTTGCCGTTCTTGCCGGGGGCCACCTTGGGCTTGGGCTTGGGCGGGGGCGGGGGCGGGGG